AGAAGAGAGAAGAGCCTAGTGGCGACGTGCCCCAGAGAGAGAGAGAGAGAGAGAGAGAGAGAGAGAGAGAGAGAGAGAGCAGGTAAGTCCCCAACCTCGCGGCCGGGCTCACGGTACTTCGATCGATAAGATGAGCAAAATCGATTGAATCTTCCCATGTTTTTTTCTGTTTTTTTTTTTTTGATATATACATATTTGTTGTTTTGTACATATAACGAATGTATGTACATGTAGAACATATATTCTGTTATATTATAATTGTTTATTTATTCTTTTAGTACGTCGCATTTCTTTTTGTTCGCAATGAAAAGAACCGGGCTGAAAAAAAAAAAAAAAAAAAAAAAAAAAAAAAAAACAATAACAACAACGACACAAAAACAAACAAACAAACAAAAGACATACATTTTGCAACACACACACACAAAATCAAACAAACAAACAAGTATCCAAATGTATATTTCCATGTTCTAGCGGAAGATTCAATCGATTTTGATCATCCTATCGATGGAAGCACCACGAGGCCAGCCGCGACCTAACTGGCGACTTACCTGCTCTCTCTCTCTCTCTCTCTCTCTCTCTCTCTCTCTCTCTCTCTCTCTCTCTCTCACACACACACAAAGAGGCCGGGAGAGACCGGGAGAGACCGAGAGAGACCGGGAGAAATCGGGAGAGACCGAGAGAGAGAGAGAGAGAGAGAGAACCATATGCTTGAGACAGAATGCAAAGCGCACTCATGCTGCGTGTGTGCGTGTGTGCGTGTGTGTGTGTGTGTGTGTGTGTGTGTGAGAGAGAGAGAGAGAGAGAGAGAGAGAGAAGTAGGTGGAGACCTACCCTTGCGCTGCTTCCGTCGGGCGATGGCAGCCAGGGTTGGACCTAGCCTTGGGTGCTGCACGCACGTGCTCCCCTTCGTCGGCACGACCAGATGGAGGCCGCGCGGGAAGGGCAGGCGGTCGCCCACGAGCCGTCCCCAACGACCGGACGGCTACCGGCCGACCGTACCGGGAGTGCAGAGCCACTTCCACCGTACCGGTAGAGCACTAGGCGATCTCAACCTGGCACAGGAAACGGGCAGGGGGAATTCCTTTGGGTGTGCGCCAGACCAACCGACGGGGCTGGGCAGCAGACCCCAACGTACATTGTTTTTCGAAAAATACAAAACGCAGGCCAAGCCTCCCTTGGAACAACCGAAAAACCGAAAAAAACCCAAGAGCCTATCTCAGTGGGTACACCCATGAACTGTTGAAAATCCAGACCCGTGTTCGAATGCAGATGATGAAAGTTGATGAGTAGAAGTTGTAAAACCAACTTTTTTTTTTTTTCTTTCTTTTTTTTTTCCTAGATTTTTTTTTTCTTTTTTTTTTCCCAGATGGAATTTTATTTCGAACGGGCCCTGTGCCCAAGGCTTACATCAACTTAGCAGAGGGCAACCGACCTCGGGTGCACTCCCCATCCCAAGCCATCCCTCTGTAGAAAACCAGAAAACAAAAGCACTTCTCAAATAGACTAAGGGCCTCGTTAGACAGTCCTTGGGGACGTGAAATCCACAAGGACGTGCTCGTCCCACCTGTCCTTGGGGACGAAATTGAAAAAGAAATGTGAAAACACCACTAGGAAAATTCCTTGTGGCATCCTTGTGGCCCCAGCCATTTCTTCCTTGTGCCCAAGGGACCTCCTGAGGTCCCTTGGGCACAAGGAATCCACGTTTCACGGAGAGGAGAGGGCACACAGGTAGATAGACCTTACAGCTGAGAATCTGGATCGTGGCGGCACCCTATTGGCTGAAGGCCTGAAGCACAACTGTTTTTTTTTTCTTTTTTCGTTTTTCTTTTCTGACATCAGGCTTAGGAAATGTCCTCGGGCGACGTCCCCGAGGACAGGTGGAACGAAGAGCCCAAATTCCCTTACGAGCCACAAGGAAAATTCCTTGTGGCGCAAGGAACTCGGTGTCTAACGAGGCCCTAATTCCTAATACTACCTAAATGCCATGAAAACTCAGAGAAATGGCACAAAAACACCGAAAATCATATCACGAAAAACCCATGGCGAACACAACCACCAATCCCCACAGCTAAAACCTAAAATGAAGGAGAACCTGTTGAAGACCACAAAACAAAAACGCTACTCAACAATAGAATTCCTAATACTACTTAGATACTTGTAAAGACTCAAAAAACAGAACAGAAACACCAGAGTTCATATCACCAAAACGTCTATCGAACAAGACTCAAAAAACAGAACAGAAACACCAGAGTTCATATCGCCAAAACGTCTATCGAACAAAACCAATAACTATCGAAAGCGCTCCCAAAAACATCGTCCCAAAAACACGTGAAATCCACGGAAAAACAAAAACCTACCGACTGAAAAGAAACCAACAAACCAATCCCAAAGCCCAAAAAACAACTCAATGTCAAAAACTAAACGTGGACAACCAAGAAACCCAGATCCCACCGACAATCCGCGAAAACCAACTATTTCTGAATTACCTGGGGCCGGTCAGCTTAATGATGATATCTCAAGGCCGTCACCCTTTGGAAAAAATAAAATAAAATTAATGATGATATCTCAAGGCCGTCACCCTTTGGGAAAAAAAAAAAAAAAAAAACCGACAAAAAAAAAAGGTAAAAGAAAAAAAAACAATGGCGCGCAGTGACGTATATTCCCGTTTTTCCGAACACTGAGGGCATACTCACACTTCTACGTTTTTGCGCATTTTTGGACGGAACTGTGGCCAGATACATCCAGGTATGGACATGGCGTGCATGCGGTCAGATACATTGATATACTGCCACAGTCTGCCAGTGTGAGTACGACCTGAGGAAGGTGGTGGTGGTGGTTCACTACCTCCGACCCTGCTTTTGCCGAGCCTGCTTTTCACTGCGCCCGCCGAGTTTCGTCGAGGCCGGGGCCCACTTTGATCTCAGAAGGAACAAGGGGAAAAAAAAAGGAAAAAAGAAACCTCCCGAAAGCCTCAATAACGACCACATACATTCTATGAGGTGCCCGTGTGACTGTGCCCTAAGTGAGGGGATACTCACCCGGGGACCAAAAGACCCTAAATCCCAAACCTTGAGAGTCAGTTTTGGGGCCACACCACACTGAAGAGGCCCGGTACCCAAATGCCTCAAACTGAAACGGATGGATTACTCCATGCCTCGCTACGACATCCCTACAGGTAGTGGGAATCTCTCTCTCTCTCTCTCTCTCTCTCTCTCTCTCTCAGAGTCTCTTTCTGTCTCTGTCTGTCTGTCTCTCTCTCTGTCTGTCTTCCCCCCGCCCTCTCTCTCTCTCTCTCTCTCTCTCTCTCTCTCTCTCTCTCTCTCTCTCTCTCTCTCTCT